GAAGCACAGGCATGTTTTCATTTTTTTTTTTTTTCAGGCTTCCGGAAGAGCATCTCAAAGCCATCCAAGATTACCTGAACACGCAGCTCTCCTTGGACTCTGACTTCGTGAAGACGGGTTCCAGCAGCCTCCCGCATCTGAAGAAGCTCACCATGCTTCTGTGCAAGGAGCTCTATGGGTACCGCTCTGGGAAGGGCGGGCGGGGGGACAGACCCGGTCAGAGAGCCGCGGCCCTGCACGCCCTGGCTGGCCATCCTTGCCCCGTCCTCAGAATGAACAGTGGGCAGGACGTAGGAACCTTCTTGTTTGCTTCCACAGTAGTCGAACTGTATCTTGTCTCTTTTTTAAACTAAAGGTACTTGAGGCCAGTGGCTTTGGCAAAGGGTGGGCGGGAGGCCGGCCGTCTCGGGACTGCCTGTGCCCAGCGTCCGAGACTTCTGCTGCTGTTGTCTTGTAGCAGCCCCATGGGTCTACCCGAACACAAGCAACAGGATCACATTCTGGGCGCGTGTGAGGGCCAACGTCGCCAGAGCTGTGGTGGAGATTCGCCAAAACTGCCAGTTTCCAACACGTGACCAAAGTTCTGATTTCTTTTCAAGTCTATTGATCTTTTTGTTTTCGTTTCATTAGCATCAATCTACACAGAAATGATTTAGAATGTTTATGAACTATGGAATACACTTGAAGTTCATCAGAAAAAAAGACAATTACAAATGATCACAGTCATTTAAGGAAATAATGATTTCATTAGCATGAGAATGGATGTCAAGTTTCATTACATTATAATGATTAGATGGACTTATCAGTCAATGGTTCATGTCCAGCTCTGGACCATTGCCACGACAGAAAGTTTAAGTAAAACTGACACAGAGAGTCCCTCCCTGGTGGCGCAGCGGGTGAAAGCACAGCACTGAGAAGCTAAAGCCACTTCCGCATGAGTTAGATCCCGGCCCTGGTGGTGACCACATGGCCCTGGTGGTGACCTCCTGACCCTCCTGCTGCTCCCCTCAGCAGTGGCCTTCGTCAGTCGGCCTGTTCTGCTCCCCGCTCTGTCTCTGGTGAATCCTCTCACCACGCCTGCACCTCTGGCCGGCTCCCCAGTTCTCTGTGCATAAATAAATCTTAAAAAAAAAAAAATTGGCACAGGGGAGAAAAAAAGATTAGAAAAGCAGCAGGTAGCTGATGTACCACCTTAAATGCTTTTGCAAAAGCTTGGAAAAATAGAAAATCACATTCAAAAACATCTGAAAGAGACTGAACGACCCCATCATACGCGAAAGGTCGGCACCATTTGACATTGGCAAATCTTGCGACGTCAGGCTCTCCTGCTGCACATTTTATCACACTTACAACATTTCCAGAATTGCCTTGTCAAGTTTGCCAGGGCCATCTTAGTGCCGTTAAGTAAAAATGACTCATTCAGTCATCAAATTAACTTTCCTCTTGTGGGCTTTTAAGGGACTCACAGGTACATTTGGTAATGGAGCAAATAATTTCTTTGACATAGCGAACCCTCATCAAACTGACCAGTCAGGTTTAATGTCAGTGAGTTTCCTTTCAACTAATGCAATTTCAGCCAACAGACCCAGAGCCGTCATTTTTAATAAATTTCCATAGAGGGATTTTTCTCTCCATTTGATGTTGTTATAAATCATTTGTCACTAGGCAAAACACATCTGTGACACTTTATTTTTAAGAAAAACAATTTCATATGGTCACAAGATTTTGTTTCTAATAGAAAGCCTGTACTTTGTGACTTTAAAAAACAAAGGATGTATGTTGAGAGAGTGTTGATATTACAACACTATATAGGATTTAGGGGTACAGTTTCACCCTCTTCAGTTGTATAGGACCACACCACACTCCCCAAACCCCATCATCCTCAGTGTCCATTGGGCCCCTCCCCCTCAGCTCACACCCTTCCCCCATCTCCTCACCCTCCTCTCCCCCCGCCCCCGAAAGTCTCAGTTTTGTAGTCAGAATTCAGAATTCATAGGTTTGTCCAGGTTTAGTTTTGTTGGCTCATTTACTTCATTTCCCATCCCACCTGTGAGTGAAACCATCAGCTATTTCTTTCTCCTTCACGACTCACTTCTTTGTGGTCTTGTCCAGGAGGAACATCCCTCGATTCTGTCCTCAGGCTGCTCCTGTCACTCAGACAGGGGCACTTTTCCCCACCCTTGCAACCTGGGCTTCGCTGAGATCTGGACCACCTCAGCCTGGGGGGAGCAGACCCCACCACGGGCCTGCTGGGCCAGCGTGGAGGTGTTCCTCCGTGTGTTTAATCTACGGAGCCCTTAGCTTCCACTTAGAATCAGAGATGCTGGGAGGTTCCCAGACCCCCGGCTGGTCTTCGCCCTCCTGGGGTAAGGGAGAGCCTGTCGGATGCTGGGTTACCAGAGGGATGGGATTTTGGAAAATCTTAGACGGGAACAAAATTGTGGTTCCCATCCTTTTCCATCCCTGTTCTCTGAAGTGTGTAGATTTCAAGCTGCTTTAATTGAAACAGGTCTTCAATCCATTCACTCATTTAACTGACCTGTAGGAATATGTTAGGAGCAGCAGCTGGCGAGAGGTTGGCATAGGATGGCCAGATTGAGCAAACACAAACAAGTGCCCGATTCGGTCTGAATTTTAGATAAACCGCAAATAATTTTTTAGCATAAGTCTATTGAGATGCAGCGTATCTTCAGTGCAAATACACTGGGTACCCTTGTCTTACCTGGCGCCGCTAGACAGGATCCGTGGCGTGGAAGGCCTCCCTCAGGGCGCCTGCGGGCTGGGGGCATGGTCTGTGTTGTGGCGAAAGGTCCGGGGAGGCCAAACCCAAAGCAGGTGAGCAGCTCAGAGCTGCAGCAGAGGCTGTGGCCGACACCTCAGGGGAGCGGAGGGCACAGCAGGCGGGTCTGTGTCTGCTTTGCTTCCTGCTGAGTCCCAGGTGCCAGCAGTGCCTGGCACACAGGGAACCTCCGGAGATGTTAGTCCACTGGCCCAGCGCTTGGGGATGAGCAGGCCCTGAGAGCTGGCGTGACCCGGTATTTCTGCGGGTGGGAGAGGAACCAGTGTTGCTCTCAGATGGACATGGCGTGAGGGGAGGACGAAAGGAGGGGGTGACCCCTAGGTTTGTCTGGTTTTTAAAGATGTATTTATTTCTGCATATAGAACTGGGGTACAGGCCAGAGGTGCAGGGGCAGTGGGAGGATTCACAGAGAGAGTGGGGTGCAGAACAGGCAGATGGAGTGAAATCCACTGCTGAGGGGGCAGCGGGGAGACAGGAGAGGTCTGCCGCGCCCTGGGGGTCCCTCCCTGGCCGGGGATGGAACTCGTGCTGCAGTGGCTGCTGATAGCTCGATAACCCTGGGGTGAGAGCTGTAAGTCCTTGCGCCACCAGGGAGGCCCCAAACCAAAGACTGTTTCCTGGCACATCTAGCGTTAACTGCAACGAAATCACTTTTGCTCTGCTTGGTCGCTATGCCAGCGGCAGAGTCAACTACCAGCCTGCCCACGGGCAGCGCCCAGCCGAGGTCAGGACAGTGCAAGCCGGAGCAGGACTTGGCTGCGCATACGAAGACAGAGGCTGGCACCCCCTTTTTGTTTGTTTGTTTCATTTTTTTAAATAAGTTGCTTCAATTTTTAAAGACTTCTTTATGCATACAGGAGCTGGGGTGCAGGCCAGAGGTGGGGGGTGAGAGGATTCACCAGAGACAGAGTGGGGAGCAGAACAAGTGGATTGACCGAGATCCACTGCTGAGGGGGGCCACGGGGAGACAGGAGAGGTCTGCCGCGCAGTGTGGGTCACCACCCTGGCCGGGGATTGAATTTGCATTGAAGAGGCTGCTGATAGCTTCTCAGTGCTGCACTTTAACCCGTTGTGTCACCAGGGAGGGCCCCCTGCCCCTCGATTTTGGATGTCAGCACTAAGTGGATGGTGATGACAGTTCCTCAAAAGGTGAAAATCAAGGAAGCAAAGGGGAGATCTTTGGGTTCAAGTGGCTGCAGGGGCTATTAGGCATGAGGAGAGGAGGTGGCCGACAGAACTGAGAATGTCACCAAAGGTGCAGGCCCATCCACTCAGCCCACCTGGCCCAATGCACACATAAGACCATGGGAATGAATGGGACGCGGACTCAGAGAGTGGAGGTGCAGACGGAGCGCCCTTCCGGTGAGTTTCTACATCTGGCCTGAAGAACAGCAGCAGCACAAGGCTCGGAAAAGATCTTACACCCAGGTCAGGTGGTCTAGAACCACATAGAAACTTCTCCAGAGAAGAAGTCTTCACAGTGTGGAAATATTTGATGACCCCTGATGGAGAAATGGAAAGGATTGCAAGGGGAACTTAAGAATAAAATATCGCCGTGGAGGAGAGGGTGTTTTATCTACTAGGTGCGAGCAGGGTAACGACTTTAATAAGCAGACACAAAACAAACACCATCATTGTAATTGTTTCATTGGAGGGCTGTAAAAATAAACCCATTGTTTTCAAACCAGATCTGAAAATCAAATTACAAAGTAGAGCAGAGTGTGAGGGAAGTATATATAGAACTGGACAAAATAAGCAAATGCAGAGAATGCGTGATAAAAAATTGACAGTCTTTGGAAAGAAGACAGGAAGATTCAGCTTATAGCTGGTAGTATGAGCTCTCCAGGAAGCAGAGAAAAAATGATGCATGGCTGATGACTAAATGAACAAAAGAAAAAAAATAATTTCCAGGTTTATAAGAGCTGAATGCAGCTATTAAGAAACCTCATAAAGATCCAATTAATAGAATAACCAAAAAGCAGCACCAGATCTCTTCTGAAAATGTTTCTAAACCACAAGATGAATTTAGCAAGTAAATAATAAGGAACCACACCATTATTTTAATTTTTTTCAGAATTAAATGGTATTCATATTCCTTGACCATACAATAAAAAATTCAGAATCAGTATCTCCAAGAAGGAGACTATGGACCTGAACTCAGCCTAGATGTTGAGTTAAGGGAGACTTTTGCAAATTTAAAAAAATTTGATCACATGCATCTACTTCAAAAAGAACCTAAGATTTATTTCCCCCCAGAAGTGCTGAATGCTGGTGATCCTAAAAATAAGAACCCAGCAGCTTACTGAGCATCTGGATATGAATATATACCAAGCAAAAGGGCTCATTCTTTCCACCAGAACACAATATGATGAAAATAGAAATAGATAATAAGACTAGCCACAACCACCCAAACATCGGACATGTTAAAATCAACTCCTAAGTGAAGTAAGGAAGAAAGTGACACAATAGGGTAGGTGCAGGAGCACAGAGTAGTCAAACCACTGTGTATCAGAACGCTGTGTGAGCAGCCAAAACGCCATTTGGAGGAAAAGTCATAGCTATCACAGGGGAGTGGAATGACTCAGTCATACAAACTGAGTTTAGACTGTGAGCTCTGGGAGGCATCGTGAACTCTGCTCCGGTCATTTTGGTATTTCCAGCATCCCTCCAGGTAGCTGAAACCCTAATCCCTTGCACATGCATTCACAGAGATAGGGAGTGTCCCGCCATGTGCTGGGCTCTCTTCCAGGACCTGCTCTCTTCCAGACTGAACAAAACAGTCTCTAAGGAGCCTCTTACTGCAAGATATATATGTTTCAAGTCCATACACGGTACACTTTAAACTTAAAAGGTTATCTGTAGAGTATAGCTAAAATAAAACCTCTCTGACAAGTGAACAATTAAGTACTGGAAACAGAGCTGGGGGATATGGTCAAAATAAATAAATAAATTAGGAAAGAGTAAACTGAGAACACTGTAAGTTAGGAATGTGGATTTGATCATCCACATTCACATACAAATCAATAGAGCAGTTACATGACTATGAGTCCTCAAATTATAATTAAACGCAACACCTTTTTTAGAAATGTAAATATTACCGTGTGCCCTCTTTTGAACTTTCAAAGAACAAATGAGCATAATCTACAAATTACAGAGTAATAAAGATCACTTAATTCAATCTTCAGAAAAATGATCCAGAGCCCAAGTCTAATCAAGATAAACTATACCCAGTTTCATTCATTAATACAAATGTATAATATTTCAATACCATTCTAGCAGACATCGATAAGTTGGTGATACGAAAAATAGGGGATTTATCTAAGAAATCACTTCAAAGCGGAGTCAACACAAAGAAAACTCTACTTTAGCAGTAGTTTAGGAGCTCAAGGAATCATCTGCACAGATGTCCTAATAGGCATGTGATCAAATGTGTCAGTTTTCATTTTAAAATAAGGAATAGAAGGTGTCCTTCATAATACATTATGTGCCGGTGTCAAACCGATTAAATCGCAGTTGACAAGGAAGCATGAAAATGGTTCCATTAAACAATTTAACTAAAGAAAAAGAGATGTCCTTTACCACTGGATTATTTAATACCAGATGAGGTTTTTGTTTTTTTTTTTTGGCTAAAGCAAGATGAATAAATGAAACAAAGAATGGAGAAAACAAAATAACTTGGGGGAATTAACCAACTTCCAGAATAAGATGGGAAGCGATTCTGCCTTTGGGGTGCTGCAGCGAGGTCCCAGGCCTCCTCTGAGCTGCCCCAGGGATCTGACGCTGCCGTCCTGTCTGTCTTGCTCCCCGCTTCCCTCCAGGGGGTGACCTGAAGCTGGACAAGCTTTCCAGGAACAAATCCTTGCTTTGCGAAAGGCCGGTCTTCAGTCTTCGGCTGAAGTTTCCGGATATCACTGCTCATTCTGACTGTCCCCAACACTCCAGGCAGGTTTGGGAACCAGTGAGAGTCCCGAGTTTCACAAAGGCTATGTTACAGGGCACCCCAATGTGAATTGGGTTGCCTGTCTGTGGGTCTTTACCCGTGCGCTTACGATTCAATCGTATTATGGACACACTCAAAAGGTTCAATAATGGATTTATTTGTAAGGAGAAAGGTAAAGGAATAACCCAGGGAAAGAGGGAGAGAAACACAGGGTAACTAGGATGTCCTACCAGTTCTGCTGACGTGGACTCCACCGGCCGCTGAAAACCGATGGAGCGCCAAAACGATCAGCTGCTATCCACTTGGTCACCCCAGAGCCCACATGTCCGGTTTTATCCCAGCCTGGCTGCTCAGCTCCGCCCTCACGTCCCTGCGTGCTTCTCCGTGGTACTGATGGGATTTGGAGTTCCAGCATTGAGTGGGGGCGGAATCCGTGAAACCTGTACCTGTTACAGCTAGATATGGGGAAAGCATCAGTCTCCCTAGCAAGCCCAAAGGACTCCGCTTATCTGTGTTTCCAGGAAACCTTTTGGAACCAGGAAACCGATGGGAGATCTATTTGATGCCAGAGCATATTCTCAATTAGTGCTTTAAAAATTTTTGTTTTAGCCCCGAATTATGTTATGAAGTGGCAGTTCAAACAGAACACCAGCATGTAACATGACCAGAGAAGCCTGGAAGTGGGTGCCGGGGGAGGAGATTGAATCGAGGTCTGCCCTGGCTTCCCTGTTTCACCCCCTCATCCACCCTTGGTCCCCAACAATGGTGTTGAACTCAAACAAAAAACAGTTATTTCACTGCATTTTAATAAACACGGTTTATTCAGAAACAGCAAAAAGGCAATTTGCAGGGTGAGTTCATGGGGGACACGCGTGCACTTCCTAGGGGCCAAGCTCTGAGCCTCTGGGTCTGGGTGTCCCGTCCCCCCGCCCCGTGTGGGCTGGTGCCTGAGCCCTGGAGGTTGCTGACTGGGCCACGGAAGCCCTTTGCTTCGCTTTCTGACAGCACAGAATTGGGTTTCTGTGTGTCGTCACAATGGCATTCAGGCTCCACGTGGGGGCTGCAGATCTCCAGTCCAGTGAGTGGCAGGAGTCTGAGAACAAGCCCTGCCATTTTGAAGAAGCCTCACCCCGTGGGCTGGCCCAGAGACTTGGGAGAAAGGGCAGTGTTGAGTGTCACTGACTAGCAGCAATTCAGGGAAAGGTGAACTTAGCTCTACCAGATAGATTGCTAAAAGGTCTAGAGGAGGTCAGGAATTAAAACCATATAACCACAACAGAAGCATGCATAGCTTCGAAAAAAGAACAGTGAAAAGTATAAGATCAATTTTTAACTACACTAAGCCAAAAATACTAAGGAAAAGATGCAAAATAGGATGAAAAAAAAAACCCACTTAGAATGAAAATGAGAGAGAGGAAAAGAAATACTTACAACACCTAGTTAAGTAGAGTCGATGCTTGATCCATTGATATTGAAATACTGTTACACCTGCTAAAAGGAGAGAGAAAATAAGAATTAGGACAACAGCCCAGACAATGGGCTCTGCTCAAAGGCTTGCTGTATGGCTCAGAGCCGGACTACCTGGTCCCAGAACTCTCACTGACCGTCAGCAGAGAACGGCAGCAGGAGCAGATCAGTTCCCAGAAGGCTCAGCACCGCCAAGATCTGAAAAGAACCCAATATTTATCTAGAGGTTGATTCTGGCACATTAATTCAATAGACTATTTAGAACCCAGCGAGATGTTCAATATGTAAAAAACAGGAGCAGGTTTTGGTGGAAAATACAGCCCCCAATTGTCTGCCCACCCTCCTTCACACGCTGTGAAAGCAGCAGGCAGAAAGTGGGTTGGACCAGGAACCCAGGAGCGGGGTGGAGGAGCGATGGATGGATTAGGCCAAGGGAACCTCCAGTCCAGGTCGGGAGGGGTTTGGCCCAGAGCCTCTCCTCAGGACAGGAAGCCCCTGGAGTACATTTACAATGCAGATTCCAGACCTGATCTGGGTGGGACCCATCTACTTGCATTTTAAACATGTGTGTGTATGTGTGTGAGAGAGTCCGTAAACCTCAAAGGTGGAAAACTCAATTACTAAATGATTGCAAAGAAGTTCTGTGATTTTAGACAGCATTTTCTTACAGGTTGCATAGTCTGGTGAGCTAAACTGAAGTAAATGAGACGTATGCCTCCTGACTCCAGTGGGGTGGGCGGTGGGGGGTGGGAGGCCCCCCCCCCCCGTGCCGCCCTCCCCCCCATCCCCCGTGCCAGCAGCCTGGATCTTTGCCTGGGCTTGTCTTTCTGCGAGGATTCCTGGCCTTTGCCAGGCCGGGTGTGGCTGTGCTGAGTGGGTCCTCACTAATCCTTGACCTTCACCTGTGCCTGCCCCCAGGGAAGTGGCCCGGATCCTCCCCTCCCTGGAGTTTCTGCAGAGGCTGTTTGACCAGCAGCTCTCCCCAGGCCTCCGACCTCGACCTCAGGTAAAGGCTTTGGGGAAAATGGGGTTGGTAAGCCAGGGGTAAGGGGAGACGGGCGAAGTAACCGGTGTGCAGGGGCTCAGAAAGGTGCACCCCTCCTCCCCAGCACTGCTGGAGAGCTTGAATATGCATTGGGGTGAGAGGCCTCAGCGCTTGGGCCCCCACCGGCTAAGGCGCTCTCTCTGCCTGACTTTGATTTGGGGAGTAAAGATGCCTGGTATACGCCTGCCCCCTCCCCATGCGTAAAGCTGCTTCCTCAGTGGCCACTCAAGCCACAGCCTCCCAACCTGTCCCATCAGAAACTGGAAGACAACAGAAAAGGGGAGCCCCCACCCCAAAACACATGTGCACACATGCACACACACAGTGTGACCAGGACATGGCAGCCTGCCCAGCTACCTAAAGAAAGGGGTCAACAGAACTCAAAAAAAAAAGGAGGACGCGCTTGCAGCAGCTGGAAGGGTGAAGGCTGGAGAACCTTTGCTTTTCAGGCACCTGCGAATAATTAGGTGAAAATAACCCAACTTTAAAGTGAGGAAGGTATAACAAAGGGCGCTGACTGGAGGACAGGCGATGGCCAGGGACCAGACTCAGCGAGAGGGAGAAGTGCCAGGTGGCCAAGAAGCGCGGTGGCCGCCGGGGTTGCGAGCGGAAAATCCCGTGTCCCAGACGCAAAACAAGGCTGTGCTGTCTCTTCAGTTCCTTGGGAGAAAAGCAGCTAACACGAGAGCACCTTGAACTGTCCTCTTCTCTGACCACCGACCCCTCCCGCCCTCCCCCACTCCTCCCCTTTCAGTGCGTCCAGCTGATTAAGGTGCAGGGCAGTCAGGAGGGAGGCGGCAGGGATGGTGATGGGGAGGTGACGGGTCCTGGGGGGGGGGGCTCGCTGCTGGGGGGGAGGTGACAGTGGTCGTGGAGGCCCCTGCTGGCCTCGCTGCTGGTGGTGGTGCTCCGAGTGGCAGTGCCCTGAGGAGCTGGGTGGAGGCTGGGCTGGTTCCGAGCAGAGTGGCCTGGGCAGGGTGGGTGAAGGGCCTCGGTCTGCTTGGTGACAGCCATATTCTGGTCCACCTGAGACTGTTTAGTTGCACACGGGTTGATTTTCCTGACTCCGGCCGCAGGCATGATGTATTTTCCTAAGGCTACACCCCAGCACCTGCCACAGGCCTCACCAGACGCTTCAGCAATGTTCTGCAAGTAAACGCTCAAGACCGTGAACTTGATGGCAGCAGGCAAGCGTCCAGGCTTGTTCTGAGTTCACTAGTCCTGACTGAGCAGTCTCAGCTCTGGCTCTGAGGCAGCCGACCAGGGCAGCACCACGCTGGTGCCCACAGCCCGATTCTCTAGGAGCTCACAGTTGAACTGGGCAGACTTACAAGAGGCGAATCATAGGGAAGAAGCCAGGGGGTCGGTGACTGCTTTGGCTGGAGGGGCCCTGGGTCTCCGTCCACCTGAGACCTGAATGACGTGGCAGTGGCCTGTCCAGGAGAAGCCACACCTTCAGGGTTCCCAGAAGCATAGCTCACAGGCTGGTGGGGTGCAGGGGGAGGAGAGTGGCGGGAGGGATGGGTGCTCAGTGGGGGAGATTCTCTTCCAGGCGGGGAGCCACTAGCCAGGGTTCCTGCCCAGAGGCAGAGCAGGAACAGCCCTGCTGTGATGCCGGAAGGCGCTTCCAGCTGCTTGCGGAGGGATGAGGTTTAGCGGGAAGGCGAGCTGGAGACTCACTGTGGCCTGGGTGATTCTGAGGTGACTGCAGGGAGCCCTTCGCCCCTCTGCTCGCAGGAGTGACGAGGGCACCACGGGGGCTGTGGGGGCGCAGAGCCGAAGCCCCGCCGGCGTCTCCCATGCTGACAGCCGCGCTAACGTGCCGCCGCCTCACCCCCAGGTCCCTGGAGAGGCCAGTCCCATCAACATGATGGCCAAGCTCAGCCAGCTGACAAGCCTGCTGTCCTCGGTGGAAGACAAGGTACGGGGCAGCCTGCGGCTTCTGCCGGCTCCGCGTGCGCCCCTCTGGCTCAGAGACTGGCCACGTGTGCGGGCTCCGTGCTCCCCTGGACTCCATCCCACGGAGGCCGCTTTCCCTCGACCTTGCGCCGAAAGGCCTGGTGCATTTATGTCCGTAGGTCAAGGCCTTGCTGCACGAGGGTCCCGAGTCCACCCACCGGTGTTCCCTCATCCCCCCGGTCACCTTTGAGGTAAGTGGCTGGGGCCGGGGAAGGTTCTGGTCCCTGAGGGAGACCGGCTGGGGCTGGGGCTGTGCCACACGGCACAAGGACCCTCGCGCGCGACGACGACCGCCGGATTCCTGTGATTTTCCTGAGAGTGACCAAGTGGGAATCTCCAGACTTGGGCTGAGAAATGTGTTTTTCTTAGTGACCCCCCGAGATTCAGAAGCCCCTGCCCAACACCAGTCCCACCTACAGAAGCACAGGACAAGAGAAGCCCCCCCACACTCACCCCAAAATCCTCCCCAGCCCTGAGGATGATTCTGCATTGAGCTGTATCCCCATCTTCAGCACCTGTCTAGGCCGCTCTAATGTCAAATGTTCAGCTATTGGTTCTAACGATCATTAGGCCCAGGAGCTTAAATCCATTCCTAAACCCTTTCTGGAAGCGGGTGGCGTCAGGCAGTGCGTCTTTGGCAATCGAGCGGTGGAAGCCACTTTCCAGTAGCTCGTCTGTTTCACCGCCGCTGCGGCAGGACCGCTGGGGTGCACCAGCCTTGCGCGGCTCAGCCGCCGTGGACATAGGTTGCAGCGCTGGGGGGAAGGGAGGGAAGGAGGTGCTGGGCTCAAGGGACCCCGGGCGGGCTGGCCAGGCGCTGCCCACTCATTGCGACAGAGGGCCTGCAGTGGGGCGTGGAGAGCCAGGCCGGAGGAGGGGTGTCCAACACGCTCCCCACCCCTTTCGCCGTCTCTCCCCCTTTCTTCAAAGGTGAAGTCAGAGTCTCTAGGAATTCCCCAGAAATTGCAGCTCAAAGTGGACGTTGAATCTGGGAAACTGATCCTTAAGAAGTCCAAGGATGGTTCTGAGGACAAATTCTACAACCACAAGAAAAGTGAGGCCTTGGGCACCTGCAGTGAGGCGCCGGGAAAGCAGGCTGGGGCGCACCCTCAGCCTGGGGTGTCCCACCAGCTGGCCCTGCCGGGGCTCCGGCCCAGCTCCAGAGGCCGCCGTCGTGCCCCTCCTGCACGAGGCCTTCCCGGGGCGCTCTGCCTCTTGCCGGGTCTCCAGGGACATGAGCTGCCCTGGCGCGGTGCCTCCACCCCAGGAGTCGGGGCGGGGTGCGGAGGGGCGAGCTAGGTGCCCTGTGCAGGCACTGATATGTGATTGGCAGGATGACGGAGAGCTGGAGTCGTGCTTTGGGGGGGGGGGGTGCGGGGAGAGCGGTGCTGGGGGAACAGGTTTGTGTGGGAAAGCATTAACCTTCACCCCTCGCAACAGAGTCTCTATGTAGGTAGGTATTGGAGCAGGAACACAGGGGACCTCGCTGGTGGCCTAGGGGTTAAGTCTCAGCCCCATCTCCGCCAGGTGGCCTGAGGCCATCCCCACCAGGGAGCTGACCCACAGGACGCAGCAGTATATAACTCAGTGGATCCACCTGTCCTGCCCCCCACTCTGTCTCCAGTGAATCCTCACCCCCTGCACCTCTGGTCTGAACCCCAGCTCTTGTATGCATAAAAAAACTTTTTAATAAAAATTATTTTAAAAACTAAGGTGACACAGTGGCTTAAAGCACAGCACTGAGAAGCTAAAGCCACTGCAGCACGAGCTCAATCCCCGCCTGCCCCGAGGTGACCCCCAGGGCGCAGCAGACCTCTCCTGACCCGCCCGCTGCTCCCCTCAGCAGTGTACTTCGTCCATCTGCCTGTTCTGCTCCCCGCTCTGTCTCTGGTGAATCCTCTCACCGCCCCTGCACCTCTGGCCTGTACCCCAGGTCTGTATGCACAAATAAACAAATCTTTAAAAAAAGAAACTAACTAAAGCTGAAATGCTAGGTAGTACCAACATAAACATGTTATGTAGAGCTCAGAGAACCTTTCCAAAAGACTGTCAGGTAAGTTGTGAGTGGCTGCCTCAAGGAGCATGGCATTTTGGGGTGAGGGAGAGGGCTTCCAGTCTTATGGGAGAAACTGGACCTCTTAATTATTGATAGAAGTAGGCATTTTTTTAATTTAGATACATTAACTTTAAGATTTTAATGAATTCAGGCAAATTTTTTTTTTTAAGATTTATTTATTTGTGCATATAGAACTGGGGTACAGGCCAGAGACTCAGGGGCGGTGAGAGGCTTCACCAGAGACAGAGTGGGGAGCAGAACAGGCAGATGGACGAAGTACACTGCTGAGGGGAGCAGTGGGCAGTCAGGAGAGGTCTGCTGGGCCCTGGGGTCACCTCCAGGGCAGACAGGAATCGAACTCATGCGGAAGCGGCTTTAGCTTCTCAGTGCTGTGCTGTAACCCACTGCACCACCAGGGAGGGCCGAATTCAGGCAAATTTTAACGTTAATTTAGACACATAAAGCAAAAGAAGGCAGGGGAGAAGGATAAGAGGTAGGAGAGGAGAAAGCAGAGGGAGGAAGCTGAAATGGCAGAAGCCGCCAGTGTGCGCCGGCCACCTTCCCGCACAGCAGGCTCCCTGGGGGAGGATGGGGGTACAGATTCATTGCTCAGCCGGGGGCTGGGTTGGTGCGGGGCGCCCGGGTGTGGGGAGACGCCACTAGTAGAATCCGGGAGACAGGGACAAAGGGACCGTTTGTTTCACTTAAGTCCTGCAGCTCATCAAGTCTCAGAAGTTTCTGAACAAGCTGGTGATTTTGGTGGAAACAGAGAAGGAAAAGACCCTGCGGAAGGAGTATGTCTTCGCTGATTCCAAGGTAAGTTAAGTGACAGCGGGCTTCGCAGACGGGCTGAGGGCCGCTTCCGACCCCTGCAGCTGGCAGGTCAGCGCACTGGGTTCCCCAGCCCCTTCCCACCTGGCACACCCAGCCCGAGGGCAGGCACCGGCGTGAGCAGGGGCCGCTCCTCCCCCTCTGCCTCCTGTCCACGCAGACCCTGGGCACGACCGGCTCCTGGGAGGGGTGGACAGAAAGCCGCCTGGGTGCTGGGCCTCTCGGCGAGGCGCTGCCGCTTGCAGGGAGACGTGTCCGGGGAGCCGGGTGGACCCGCACCTGGGCACGGGCACCCAGCCGCGCCGAGAAGCTCCTCTCCCGGGGCCTGCGGGTCCTGCAAGCCACTGGCTTCAGAGCTGATGTTCTTCCAAGTCACTGACTTGCCTGGAGCAGCAGTCCCCAAGCGCTGCTTTTCCGCACAGGGCCCCCCCCCCAGGGGTTCCCGCTTAAGTGTTAGCTTTGGCCAGTGCGATCGAGGGCTGAAGCCGTCCGCGGCTTGTGCTTTCTGTCCATCCTCGTGCTGGGGCCGTGAGGCGGGCCACAGGACACACAGCCCCCGCGTGGTGGGCACTGTGGCAGGCCGGGGCAGAGGCCCTCTCTGGCCCACGGTGCAGCTCCTGCCTCACCTCCTGAGGCTGGCCACGGGGGTGTGTCTGCTTTCTGCACTGACGCGTGGCCTGCACCCCCAGATGTTTTATTTCCCCCAAGTCGTGTCTTGCCCAGGAAGGGCTGGGTGGAAGGGAAGCCACAGTGCCCTAGGGCTTTGCGTGGTCTCCAGACCGTTCGGCTTCCTTGAGTTGAGCGCTGCTTTGACAGCGCCCTGCGGGCAGCGGGGCCTCACCAGCTAGCCTGTCTGCTCTTTGACCCTAGAAGCGGGAGGGCTTCTGCCAGCTGCTGCAGCAGATGAAGAACAAGCACTCGGAGCAGCCGGAGCCCGACATGATCACCATCTTCATCGGCACCTGGAACATGGGTAGGTCCGCGTGGCCAGGCCTCTGCCCACCGCTGCCCACAGACCTCTGTCCTTTCCCCAAGGTGGAGGCAGGAGAGTGGCGCTGGGGCTCTCGTGCCCCCAGAGCAGCTGAGTCGGTTGCTTCGCATGGCTGAATTGGAAAATGAGGGGTGAAGAGGGGAGACATCTAGATAAAGGGGCACTGGGGCCCCTGCCAAATTTAGGGAGCTCACCGGGGAACCCAAGTCTGGAAGAAAGACCAGCCTGACTGACGGGAGAGACAGAGAGAGAGAGAGAGAATGCCCGGTTAAACTTGAATTTTACATAAATAGCAAACAGTATTTTGGAATGGGTGTTTAGCTAGAAGTAGATAAATACATGCATACCATACAGTGTCTTTACATGCTAATATATATTCTATACTAATTACATGTTTACTGTGTGTGAACTGTATGAAGCGTTTAGTATAACGGTTCGGCTAGAAATAAGTAACTATGCGTCAGAATGCTTGAAATAAGTAATACATATGCATATTGTACTTAATAGATGTATACTTGCATACAAAATATACTAAATATAAATTATGCTAGGTAATTATTTATTGTAAGTATTCAGTGATAAGTTTAAAAAAATAAGTAGACAGCAGATGTCCTGCTAAATTTGAATTTCAGATAAATCGAGATTGTAGAATTCGCTGTTGCTTCTCTGAAGTGTGAATTTAATGGGGCTTCCGTGTCCCTGCTTGGTCTGGGCCCGAGACCCTGCAGCAGCAGCTGGGAAGGGAGCGGAGGGGATGAGCCCCTGGAAGGGGGTGAATGCAGTCTGGGGGTGAAGCTGCCATTGTGCCTTCCAGGGTCTGTCGGTGGAGGGTGGGGCTTCCAGCCACCAGGCCAGCGGAGACTCCATTCACAAGCCGCCAGCCCTCCAGCTGTCCTGGGCAGCTGAGCCCAGGCCAGCACCAGGGGGCCCCGCCCTGCTGAGCTGGCCGTGTTTCCTCCTGGCCTCTCACTTCATCAGCTCACTCCTGGGCTCCATGCCCTGGGCACACAGCCCTTTTCAGATTTTCCAACTGCGCGGGGGTCTTAGATCAGGCTGGGTGAGGCCAAGGCTATCTTGTGGCCCAGCTTGCGGGGGAGGGGCCGCCCTTACCCAGGAGACCTTGGAAGCCGGGGTGTGGGGCAGAGAGCGCCTGCTGTACCGTGGCGGGCCAAGAGGGGGTGCTAGCAGTTCGGCGTCCCTGGGAGCCAAACTCAGCAAAGGTCACCTTTCAGTTCTTGGCTTCTTGGCGCTGGTGGGCAGGGATTATCAACTTTGGGGAGTTTACTCAACCTTCAAGGGCAGTGCAGAAGAAACAGGTCTTGCATCATTTCTTTATGGAACGGCCGACTCACTTTTAAATGGCCGCAGGCACTGGTCTTCCTGTCATTCCTGTTCTCTGGCCGACACCCCACATCTCAGTGGTTGAGATCTGTCTTATGCAAGGAAGTCATGTTGTCTCCCAACAAAGGATACAAGGATAAAAGCTTCCCCCCTAAACTCATCCGCTGTCCGCCAACTGGCCAGTGGGATGTTGGTTCTGACCCAGTGACCTGGTCACCCTAACCCTGGATGCGTGACCTCTTGGTCTCCTGGAACCGTCAAGTGTTTCTAATCTTTGAAATGTAAAGTTATCTTTCGACAAAAACATACATGGCCCAGCGGGTTAAAGCACAGCACTGCACTGCAAGCGAGCCTCAGCCGCTTCAGTACGAGTTTGATCCCCCGGAGCTGACCCACAGGGCACAGCAGACTTCCTGTCTCCCCGCTGCTCCCCTCAGCAGAGTACTTTGTTGATCTGCCTGTTTTGCTCCCCATTCTATGCCTCATGAACCCTCTCACCACCCCTGCACCTCTGGCCTGTACCCCAGTTCTGTATGCATACATAAATACATCTTTAAAAAGAAACATAACTGACCCCTTAGCTGTCCACCTTCTGGGCAATGCTGGTACCTAGTTCTCCATCTTTGGTATTTGGGGGGAGGGTTAGAATAGCTTTCAGTGAACCCCCACCCCTGTTGTGAATTTTGCCGGTATGCCTTTGACTCACTTGTGCTGGTTTTGCTGTTGAAGGTAACGCCACCCCCCCCAAGAAGATCACGTCCTGGTTTCTCTCCAAGGGGCAGGGGAAGACGAGGGACGACTCTGCTGACTACATCCCCCACGACATCTACGTCATCGGCACCCAGGAGGACCCCCTGGGGGAGAAGGAGTGGCTGGAGACACTCAAGCACTCCCTGCAAGAAATCACCAGCATGACCTTTAAAACAGTGAGCACTGGCAGGTGTTGGGGGGCCCCGGTGGCCTGCCAGGGCAGTTCGGCCGCAAGGGCCGCTCTCAGGCCCCGGAGCCCTCCGGGTGCTCGTGCTTCCCCTCCCCCTTCCAGGGTCAGAGAGGGCCCCTGCACTCGGGGCTTGCGGCCCCGGCACCCACAGGGTCTCCCTGTGCCTGGCCACGCTCCGCTCCTCCTCCCGGCTCTCACCTTTAGGATGCTTTGTCTCACCTGAGGGCGTATGTGGGAGTCCCCCGAGGCGTGGGGATTCCAGAGCGGGTTCCCCACCGTGGGCACGTGGTGGGTGCACCTGGTCTGGGTGAGGGCTCAGCGCTGTCCTGTCTGCCAGATCGCCATCCACACCCTGTGGAACATTCGCATCGTGGTGCTGGCCAAGCCGGAGCACGAGAACCGGATCAGCCACATCTGCACGGACAACGTGAAGACGGGCATCGCCAACACGCTGGGTGAGCGGGCAGAGCCCCGTCCGAGGCGTCCCGGGCACGTGCACGAGTCCACCCGCAGGGCCGACAGGGACTCCTGGGGTTAAGAACCGAGTGTGTCAGTCCTCGGAGCCCCCAGGCTGCGCACCGGGGTGGTGGGCCCTGGCCAGCGCTTCAGCAAACACCTGGTGCTCCCGGCCTACAGGCCCCGCCCAAGAACGAGCTTCTAGAAGGGGGGCCGAGGGTGTTCCTGTACAGGCCAGAGTGAGTCTTGCAGTTGAGAGTGGGTTGTTTGGCGATTTGTTGCGTGAATATCACGCCCTGAGGTCGCACGACCTGGACGTGGGCCGACTGCCTGGGCCCCGGGGACACGTGGGGCCACCGTCGCCACGCAGCTGGTGGTGGAGAAGTGAGCAGCAGCATTGACTGTCCAGGCTTTGTGGCATCTCCATGGTGTGGACACGAGGAGTGTGACTGTTCTAGAAATGTGACTTGCAAGCATAGGCCGTGCGCTGGGCCGGGCCCGCGAGCTGCCAGCCACCCACCTGGGTCTCGGTCTGGAGACACGGTGGCAGCTCGGAGCCCCTGGGGACTGTCACTGCTTCGGAGAATTTTAATACATGCATGCAGAGAAGTGGGGGTCTGGGGCGTGAGTGCGTGTGTGTGAGCCCGGGTGCGTGTGTGTGAGTGTGTGAGCCCGGGTGTGAGCCTGGGTGCGTGTGTGTGTCAGCCCGGGTGTGAGCGTGTGAGCCGGGTGTGTGTGTGTGAGCCCAGGTGTGTGAGCGTGTGAGCCCAGGTGTGTGTGTGTGAACCTGGGTGCACGTGTGTGAGCCGGGTGTGGGTGTGTGTGTGAGCCCGGGTGCGTGTGTATGAGCCCGGGTGTGTGTGTGTGTGAGCCCGGGTGCGTGTGTGTGAGCCCGGGTGT